AATGTTTGCCTTTAACGGCATATTACTTCTAAAATATCCCATTCCATATGTCATCGTTGCACAATCCCAGTTTTGAGCAGCAAATATTTTATTCTGGATTGTACATCTCTTGTGCATCGCTTTCTTTGTGAAAGTGTTTGGGCATACATAATAAGGAGCAAGAGAAAGAAACAAGCTAAGTTTGCGTCGTTCCTTGCGATAGGTCCCTCGAGGTTCTCGGAAGAAGCTCCTTATGTCCTCGAGTGAAACTCCAGCCTCTCGGTAGTTCGGAAGGCAGTCGTCGCCTGGGTGCGAGGGCACTGTCTGCTTGTCTGGACGAGGCTCGGGTGCAGTCGTCTGCGACTCCATGTGACACGCGTGTGCGGCCCCCTCCGCGATTGAGAAACGTTTCTTGCCGAGTTGTCAGCCATGACGGATTGCATCTGCGAGTGTGTTGCGTTCAGTGCATTTCAACATTTGTTGTTGCCTTGGCAGGTTCCCAAGCCACTTTTTTGACGCCGGATCGGATTGGCGCCTCGGCCGTCGGAAGCCATTCTTTTCTCGTTTTTAGCTCGGTTTTGGACGTTTGTGGGGTTCGCGGTTGAATGACAAGCCATTGGAGCGAGGCGGGAGGGAAGAGGGGTCGGGGTTCACGGCTGGCTCGCTTGAGCGTGCGGGCAAGCGCGGATGTCTGGAAATTTTGAGGCAGTAATGCTCTCGGGATTGTGCGTTGAACCCCCGATTCTGCGGCGCGTGTTGTTGGTGTGGTGAACGAACTCCGTGAAGGTCTGTTCCTCGTAGATGGTGGCTATTAATCGGGCCTCACGAAATGCCTGACTGGCTAGCCAGGCATTTCGTATGGTGAGCGCCCGAATGCGTCGCCAATATAATTTTTTTTTTTTTTTTTTTTAAGGGCAATTTACGCATTGTGTTTGCCTGGAAAACGACACATTATCGTTCCTGTGGCTGATGCCGCCCGTTTTGTCTGCAATTGGAACTCTTGCGAGTGTTTTGTCAAACTGCTACTAGAAACGCTGCATTTCGGGGAAGAGTACCGTAGCATCCCGAGAAATGCCCCACCCCCGGAAGATAACCGCCCTCTATTTTGGGCACAATTTGCTATTTTTCTTTTTTCAAAAAAAAAAAAAACGGAAGACAGCCGATTTGTAGTAATCGCAGGGCCCTGACCAATGGTGACCTCGACAGGAATGGTTTGACTTAGCCACTGCGAGAGATAAGTGAACATTGATGACTGGGAACGACTGTCATCCTTGCTGCGTCGCCCCTCCCTGCTGTCTCAAATTTTGCAGGTCACAAAATCTAATACTAGCATTTTTTTTTACTTTTTTTTGATCGCACACCAAAAGTTAGCCCAATCCTTATTATCACCCGACTTGCTTTCATTTTTAGGTGGGCTATCTCATGGGATATTAAGGCAGTCTTTCTCTACTGTTGGCTTAATGAGTTCAAATACATTTTTTTTCTTAATTTGATAATAAATTAAAAAAAAAAAAGTAACTGTATCCCAAATGTCCCAGTAAAATACACACATTTCAACAATCTGGAAGGCTCTAGAAATAGTGATTGTTTTGATACGAAAGGGATGGTGGTGGTATGTGCATGAAAATAGTTCCCAAAATTGGTCTTTATTTGGCAGAAAATGTGATGTTCAGATGGTTTACATGGCCAGTTTGATAATGTTGTGCACGCAAGCAGATATGTATCCCCAACTGAACATTGCAGGTCAATGACCCCCACTTACTAATGGCCTAGTTTCTCCCATAGTGCCGAAAGAAAAGTCTCAGTGTTTGCAAGCAAATCAACCTTCCACTGCTCGAACTTTCATACGACCGATTTGTTGCTAGTTAGTCTCGTAAAGCACTGTTTCAGCAATCAAAAACGTTTTTGCTTTATGAAGAAAATTCAATCCCTTGTTATCTAACCGTCCTGCAGAATCTGTATAGTGCTTGTTATTACTTTTTGCCAATTCTTGTTCGCCCTTATGTACGCAAGTAGGTCGATCTTGCCAGCCAGTTTGACTGTGTTACCGCCGCCACGGCACTTTGAGGCAACTTTAGTCTTTCTGCTTGTGCGACAACCTCGCTGCGGGTCTGTGCAAGTGGAGCACGAGACGGCACGAACCACCGTCTCGGGCACTGCCGCCTGTCTGTTAGGGAATCAAGTTACGGCGGCATCACGCACGCACGCGTTAGACGCTTGGCGAGAGATCGGTCTATTTGCATTCAAAGAACCCTGGCATGCTTTCCAGGTGAATTTTTATTGCAGCTCTATTTGCATGAGGTCATTATGCTCCCAGGATCTCTACCACTCCTTGTTTTGCAAACGAGAAGCAACGGCAATTCCGTTTTTGTTTTCTGCGCACGCGGAATTCCTTTCCTGGCATCATTAAGTCTGCGTCGATTCTCTGAGGCTCTTTCCGCAAAACCGCGTCTACCAGGGGGGTCATTTGTTGTTCATGCATTACCCTTTATTATACCCCTGCCATTCTAGAAACGTTATGTTTTCCTGTTTTGGAGGTGATCATTGTTCCGAAGCATCTTTTTATGGGTGCTGCCGTGGGAAAACTTCCTTGTGCAGGTTACTTCTATCAAAATTTTCGAGCAGAGTTGTTCCTTCCTTTCTCTGTTTTCCTGCTATTCTGTTTTACGGACTTTAACTCTATGTTATTGAAATTGAGGGTCGCCGCCTTCTCTAATGCATGCTGGACTAGCAAAGCTTCCTGCACACTTTACATTTTTTTCTATCCTCAACTTTTGCTGTTAACTAGCTTAGTCATTCGTGGATATAAAGATGGTAGGAAAGTATGGCCTCTGGGTGCCACCATCATGCTGCTGGTATGTGCAGATCATCTGATAGCCAAGCCTTGCTAAGACTTGCCCACGGTGAAACACACACTCACAACATAAATAGCGTCGGATTGTTTGTTGTTTTATTATTACAGTGCGGGCTTAGAGACAATCCTCTTTGGAGCCCATCTCAACGGTGCCGTGTGGCACCATCTGCGGTGCGCGCAGAAAACAAAAACGTAAACATGCCAAAATTTTTAAAGAAAAATTGAGCTTCAGCTTTCAGCCGAGGTTGGGAATTTTAATTGTCTATGAGGTTATTTTTCTTTCATTTTTGCCAGTTTTTTTACGGCCCTCTTCCAGTACTGTCGCATATGCATATTTTTATATTATTTTCAAGTTTATTTCCTCTTGGTTTTACTTCGGATATTATTTGTATAAGCACTTTGGAGACTGACCTCGCACCTGTGAATATTGTCACCAATGATTCGGAAGCCCCGATTCGGTGCTTACATTGTTGAGAGCCATTATAATTTCAACTCTATGTAAATAATTTACAATACCATGATGTTTGTATGTGAATGTGGTCGTATTAGCGCGTGTGGATTTTACTTTTATATTAACACTTTTAAAATATTCCTATATGACTAATTGTCACATTTAATTACCTGGCTAACAAAAGTCTGTCAACCCAATTTTTCTTTATCGATCTATCGTCTTCTAGCGTATGAACTAATTTATTATTATTTATTGAAAATATAAGAATGTAGTGCTTCATTGCCCCATACGTTCAAGTTCTATTATGAATTTAACAAAATTCATAAAAATGAAGTACAGTACGTGAACATTGGAGTAAGGAATGAACAAATATGTTGCATTCTATACAATTCGTCTAAAGTTATATGGCCCAAGTTGGGTCGCTCTCAGAAATAAGTAATTGTAAAGTAATTGCATTACTTTTTAAAGTAATTTGTAATTGTAATCAATTACTTTTCTCGTAGTAGTAATTGTAATTGTAGTGAAACTACCTTTGAAGCAAAGTAATTGTAATTAAATTACATTTTGGAAGTAATTTACCAATGTATGGTCTACAGTAAGCAACAGTCACTCACAAATCAGGCATATTCATCACAATCTCTCACAGCTTCATAAATTGACGTTGACTCGCTTAATTGAACCCAATAAATCTTAAACAAAATTTTCAATCTTTCATCTGCACATGAATGATTGGGGAATCTTTCTTGAGAAGGATATATTACATATGAATACATTTATCACAACCGTCCTTTTTGCTGATCTTGGGGCAGCTTTCTATTGTGCAGTATATGGAGAGTTGTTTGTTTAGCATGAATGGTTAGTGCCGCTGTACACTTGCAACAGTTGCTCATATGGAGTCGTATAGCTGCATTACTAATTACTTCTATATAGCTGCACGGTAAAGATTAAGTAGTTGTCGGTCGTTGAAGTTTCTTCTCGAGCAATTTCGCGCGTAATTCGAGGTGAGCTCTTAGTTGCTGTCGGCCGCAATCTGTGGTCTGGTATTTATGGCACATACGTTGTGGTTCACACTTCACATGTCCTTTTGAATGTAATCGACTGTGTTACGGCAGCTTGTGACTGTTTATGACGAGAGAGCACACTTGCGCCAACTATCAGGTGGCACTGGGCTCACTTCCAGTCCGCATATAACTGGATCGAAGATTTTGCAGTACTTGCAAAATCGAATCTCTGCGCCATTAATGAGATGTGGCCGCTCATGGCGTTGTCAGGATTATTTCAAGCCCAGGGTGAAAGAATACCGAAGTAAGAATGAGGAAATGTATGCAGATAAGAAGGATTCCGGTGCTGCCGGGCAGATAATGCCAGCGTGTCCTCTCATCTAAAGCCCCCTGATGTGTTTGTGTTTGTCTTATAAGTAGCATCAAATGCACCAGAGAACCAGTGCCTTGTGCTGCCCTAGGAAGCAAACGACAGCAGGGCACTCCCTTGTGGCACACATCCTGTGTGTTTGCACGACATCGGTCGTCAATTCTTGCAAGAAACCCGAAGCATAGATTTTATCGAAAGGCTTTACTCTCGTCGTAAGTGTTTACAAGGGGTTGCGGCGTGGTCGGTCGGTCAGATGCAGATGTGTGAACCAGGACAGTTAACCGTATTTTAAAAAAAATAGTTTTGCGGTGCTAACATTCTTTCTTTTTTTCCTTCTCTTTCCAGGCGAGGATAGCCTTCCTCCAGGGTGAGCGGAAGGGCCAGGAGAACCTGAAGAACGACCTCATACGGAGGATAAAGATGCTGGAGTTTGCCCTGAAGCAGGAGAGGTTAGTCCCCTCTTCCGTGCTCCCATTTCTCTTACAAACTGTCGAAATGCCGTTGCGGAGCTCATTGGGTGTGTCGTCGTACTTGTGCATGACTAAAGGCGTATCGAATGAGACCTTTCGGACGCATCACCGGCGGCGCGTTGCCAGTCTGCGGCCAAAAAACGGTTCTCGTGAGTTGGGGATTGCGGGGAAAATGCTTGCACGAGGCTTGTGACTGTTTGTATTGACGCGTACAAAAGAGCATGGGGTAAAGTTTCGTTGTGCAAACCTTAGGGTTGTCTGCTTCAGTGTAATTAGTATCTTGTCGATTGTATCCATGCAGAAGTTTTGCAGGTTGCTGGTAGTGAGTGACTTTCGATGCACGGAACTACTGTAAAATACCGAGCGTCCGACCATTCTACAATGAGCGCCCACCCTTGGTTTTTGTAACGTTCGGAAAACAGGCAAGGGACATAGGAGCGCCCATCAGTTTTGCACAATTAGCTCCAAATTTCGAGTGGGGTGCTCGCTCGAGATTTTTCGGTAGGTCGCAAGTTCAGGCCAAAAGAAAGGGGTAGCCATAATTTTTGGTGTAAATAGTTAATTTTAGTACAACTATGCTCTTTGTGAACACCCATGTGCAGGACGTCTAAACTTCACTTTCGAAAGGGCTTCTCTAAAGCTACTCTTTTTGAGATCTCCCATACTCTTCTCAAGTCATTGGCGCTACATACTCCAGCTCGCGAGTTGTGTGCGTCATTTGTGAGACGAAGGTCGCGAGCACTCGGTAAAGCCACACACGTGCACGTTCCTGCCTCCCGCAATGCTTCATCAAACTCCTCTCTGCATGCAGCGGGGGTGGGTTTCATGGCTCCCTTCCACGACACTTTCACATCCAGGGCTCTGAAGCTTGCGCACAAGGGGGTGGCAGACTGAAAAAAATCATACCTTCAGCAGAATTTTTTTTTTTTTGTCGTTTTTTTGGTATGACGCATTTGAGCGACTCTTCTTTACAGCTGGCACTCCTACGGCCGCCCCGTATTAATTACACTCCCGAATCACAACTGATAAGAGTTAAAGCGAATGCTCTCAACGACTGAAGACAAGACGTCCTGCTCGTTTTCCACTATAAAGCGCGAAACACATGTACGACGAAACCTTCCGATCCGACGTGCGGACTGCCGGAATGACCTTGAGGGGAGAGGGTTTTCGTAGCATCGGAGAGCGTTGAAAATCCTCGCCTTCGACCGTCGTATTGCGCGGTCAGACGTCGGATCGGACGGTTTCGTCGTACATGTTTTTCGCGCTTAATTGTTCGGTGTAGCGGCGCGAGACGGCCGCATTTCTTTTTATTGGCGTTTGTGCGACAGCTTAAACACTTTCTTGGCATTCTGTTCCGTCATTGAGCTCATCTTTTTTTTTTTCTTATTTTTTGGTAGTGGCAGCAACTCATTTCTTTGTTGTCGGACTGGACGCGGGGAAACTGCTGGCATTGTTAGCATGCCCATTGGCTTATTGTGCTTCAAATTGTCGTCACATTAAGTCAGCGAAATTACCTGGGCTACAACCTTCAACAGGTTTAAATTGCAAGAGCACGCCAGCTGAACGCGTGTCCTCCTGAATGAGTGAGATGGGCGTGAATGGTACACAAAAGATGGACAATGACTTGTGAGAAAGTGATCTTGCTTGGTACTGTCAGTACCATTACGTAATTTCGTAGATGCTAGTGCCTACAAAATACCAATCTTGTTTTAACGCTGTTTTGACAGAGGCCATTTGCCTTACGAGTGTGCCGAGATTGTCCGATGACAAGGCATGTCTAGATTTTTATGGAAGCATGACCTACAGGGGCTTGACCGTCAAGAAATAATTTTTGCAACTTAGAGTTTGGCTTTTTTGTGAAATGAAAATATGCAACTCTGTATACTGGAAGTAATAGGCCACTTCAGGTGCATTATGACCTTTTGAGGCACCAGAAATATGTTCACGTGGGACGTTACCTCTTTCCTGACGGAAAGAAGGCTGTTATATGGTGGTCTCGGTAAAAAAATTGCTTAGTTGTATATTTTGCTGCTAGGTGTGCCAAAGCATATCAAAATGTAGCTAAAGCAATTCCTTTTTCAAAAATGTAAATGTCAAACAAGCTATTTCTTTTTATTACGAGAAAAAAAAAATAATGTCAAAGTTTGTGTCATCAACACAGAAGATTGTATTTTAATTCAATGTGCCTTGCAAAGTATGAGTTAAAAAAAAAAAATACATTTTGTATTTTACTTTTCTAGAAACAAATCATGCAAGTTTGAAAAGTCTCCGTGTAAAACCTCTTGTTCTGCAGAAAAGAAAAAAAAGAAAAGATAGCTCCCACATTGGCTGCACAAGTATTTCATGCTACTTCGTAGCTGTATGCTAAGGTTGGGACCGGGTCGCCTTGCAAAGAAAATTGCACTAGTTTCGTGGCCGACGGCATTAAATCATGTCTATATGAGATTGGCATCCTGCAGATGAAAAATAATGCCTTCGGAACACTCCCAGTATGTCCACAGAAGCTCACGGAGGCAATAAATGTGCTTGGCACGCAAAACAAAACATACTAATGGGCACCTGTGAATAATCCTGGCTGGTTCGACCCACTGCCACAATCGAAACTAAAATTACAGGAGGACGTTCCCCTGCTCGTTCTCAAGCCGTGCAAGCGTGTCTGCATGGTTTAGTGGATAGCGTGTCTGGCTCGCAACGGGAGGGCCGTAAATTCAAATCCCGCCTCCGCCTAAACTTTTTTTTTATTTTTTTCTTTAAAGCAAATAAATTGCTTTATCAAGTGAAATCATTTGAGACATGTGGCGACTTTTAATTTGCATTACATGTCATGTTTTTGACCACTTTCATTTCACGCAGGACGTTATGTTTCATGCAAGCGTTTGGGTTGTTCGAAATTTCCGTGCGAGGTCTTGTGGCTGTGACGTCATGACTATAAACCTATCGGGATTTTCCTGCCCCACTGACGCCGGCTTGTCTACAACACGAGCTCCTCAATGCTATCGCATTAAAATCCGATGAATGCATGCCATCTTCTGACTCGCTGCTGCCACTTTCATTCACAAAATTGATAGCATATGTACCAGAATTGCTAGTCTGGTGCTGTTTTCAAAGAAAATCGGCACGCATTGAGGATGCCATGCTTGATGTGATTACTCAAAATTCTGGAACTTAAATCGCGTAAGGAATCGCCTCCTTGTGAAATAGCAAAAACCGAGGCAGAAACTCAAAGTAGATTTCTTCCATAGCGTCCTAGATGGCACCGCATTCTAAAAACGGCACTAAATGCGTCGAAGGGGGGGGGTTTGAAATCCATCGACCAAATGATTGATTTGGATAGGTCCGGTAAAGAAAGAGTCAACATTGGTTCCCATTGCATTGTCTAAACAACAAACAAACAAGTTGTTTTTTTTTTCATAAAGTTGTAGTTTTGTTGTTTGGAGAACTGATGATATGCTGGGAACTGAGTGACGTTGTCGGCCCCTGGGTATCCGCTCATTTCTGGTTCTTTCTCATGCCAGGATCAAGGCGCACAAGTTGAAGTACGACTCCGATCCCAACCCCACAGAGTTGAAGGCTCCGGTCTTCGACGACATCAGCAAAGGTACGGCAGCAGTTGGTCCATGCAGTGTGTGCGGCTTCTTGTTGTTGGGCTGTATGTGGACTGTGGTCTCGAGCGAATAGTACTGAGTCACCTCCGTCTTCCGCAGCGCTAAGGGTCTGTGCCGTAAAGGAGGATTATGTGAATGATGCAGCCCTATTAAACTTTGACTACCACAACCTGTGATCTTCCCGACGACTCGCGCTCGTTTTACCAGACTTCAGAATGCAGAAGCTAGAAATCCGGGCTGCTATATAGAAAGCAATGTCTGCTGGAATTTTTGGCTCCAAAAGTCTGTGAATTGCTCGTATTAGGGTGCCTGAACGTCCTTCTGTTCGGGGTGATGACATTCTTTGTAGTACCCAGTGCCGACAGCACATGCTTGCAGGGAAAATGCAAAGCAGTCGCCGGAAACAAAATGCTGCCTTAGTGCAGTTTCACGTGCTCCAGAACAAAAAAGAAAAATAAGCGTTCTGAACAAAATAATTTGATGTCATCACCCTAAGCATAGCACTCATGAAGGCACCCATCTCGTATGGTAGCCAAGTTGGGGGTGTAATCGAACAATGACTGAATTACTACGCAGAGTAATTGATCACAAGTGATTGGGTTAGTCATAATGCATATTGTTTAAGTCTGGAAAACGATTGCTGAGCTGAGATGCCATGTTCTTGACAAAAACGGGGAAAGACTTGTCTCGTGCTTTTTTGCAGCAAAGATTTTCGGTACTATACTTGTGAAAAGTGCCATGCTTCAGCGTTTACAAGCGATCTTCGAGGTCGTCCCTTTCAACGCTGTGTCTCCGGTCGGTTGTTGTTTTGCAGACGAGCCGATGGACGGAGAAATGTTCATCACCAGCAACAGCAATGTGTCCTGGCGACAAGGACGGCAGTTGCTACGACAGTGAGTGTCCTTTAACATTCTTTAAGCACGGGTAGCAAATTATTTTCGTTGCCTTAAAGATTTACGGAAAACAGAATAGACTCCTAACACAGAATGTGATTTATGAGCAGCCTTTCATGGAGCTCTGTAACATTTGGCTGTAACGGCCGGTTGTAGTGGCAGCTGTACAAAAACCGGATGCCAAAATGCGTTGCACTCGCCGGGAACCATATGAAAAGACTTTGGTCCCTCGGCAGGATTTGAACTCAACGCCTTGAGATTGTGGGCTGAACACTCTGCCGATTGAGCTATCCAGGGTTGGTGGTTGGAACATGCAAAAGTGAAGTTGTTTGCACGGTGCATGTGACTGCACGCTTCGCGGCCTTTCCTGTCATGTTGCACCATCTCGCGGCGTGCGTCAGGAATGAGATTGAATCTTGTGTAGGTGGTGCTGTTTAGACGCCCTTCCCTTTTTTTCTGGAAGGCCTGTCACACATTCTGTGCTTACCAGTCTTTTGTCAACATGATTAAGCATGTAAACATTTTTTTATGCACATTTTTTTCTTTTTTTTCTGGAGTTAGGGAGGGAGGGGGGGGGAGATTTTGAGACAAGTTGTAGTGTCATGAACTGAACATACCTTCTTTTCCTGCTAAATTTAGCGGGAAAGTTTGCCACGTCTTGCGACATCTGGATCATATTCTATGTTCAAAGGAGTTTAGCGGGAGCCCAAGTATTTGTTTTCTTTCTCTTTGCTTTCTGGCTTAACGCTAAAACAGTTGTTCATTGTGCATACCACAAATGTCTTGTAAGTTTATGATGTCAATTGGATTACAAGATATTGTCAAGCGTTGTAACGTAGCTCTCGTGCGAAGTAACCACGTTCCTCATTTGCTAGCGTGAAACGGGACAGTAATTGGAAAGCACCCAAGTTTCCGAACCAATAAGTAGTTTTATCTAAGGACTGGGGTATAGTGCACCTAGATTACGGAGTGCTTCCAGCTGCTCTTTCGGTGTCACATGGTTTACAGGCCACTCTGCAACACAAGCTGCAAGGAGATGACCAAAATGTCGATGGCCTTACAGGCATCTCCGTCCCTCAATCCGCTTTCCTCTTTGCCCCGCAACAACGCAGTCCGTGCGCTCTTGGGATCAATCTCCGCAGGAGGCGTCTGCCATTAAACTGTAAAAGCACTCCACCTTTTGAGTTGCTCCCTCTCTAAAACCTAGGCTCCATACCGCAGCATCGCTTATTGCATGGCCCTAGGTCTTTCGTGGTGCGAGCTTTCCCTTTCCGGAGTCAGCAAAGCCCTGGGGCACGCCTTTGTCTCGCAGGTACCTCCAGGAGATAGGCTACACGGACACAATTCTGGATGTGCGGTCAGCACGAGTGCGCACCCTGCTGGGGTTGGGGCCCGCCAATGCGGGCTCTGGGCAGACGGAGGAGAAGTCCCCCCACCCCACCGTCAACGGGGGAGGAGGGGGGACACCCGGGGAACCCCTCAAGCGACCCTCGGACACCCAGCGGCGGTGAGTGTCTTTGTCCCTTTCTTCCGAGCGTTGCCATGGCGTCGTCATCACGTTTGACGAAAGGATGGTGATGTTCAGCGTCAGACAAAAGCCAGTGGTGGTGAATGACAGAATATCTGGCGACAGTGTCAAGTAAAAATGTCAAGCAAAATTGTCAAATAAACATGTCAAGTAAAAGTGTTAAATTACTGTCCGGTAACTGTCCTGTGGCAGTGTCGTGTGACAGTGTCTAGTGACTGTGTCCATTCTCTGCACTCTGGGCAATGGCTGTAGGCTGTTTCTTCATTCTGGGTAACGTCTGTTGAGTGTGTTGCAAGCTGTGTCTTTAGATGCGGTGCTAACAGACGTTATCGTGGGATGTCTGACTTACGTTGCTTTCATTGAACATTGGCATTGTTACTTGGACTTGTGTAGTTCAACATTCAACATCATTTTAAGGCAAAAGCCTTTTGTCTGATCGTTCAGACGACCTTCAAAGTCCTTGAGCGAAAACACGTCGGCGACACGAAAGGTGCCAAAATGTTTGCGTGACCACTCGGGCTGCTGCTCAATCATATGCTCAAGGACGACGCCATCCTTGGCGTCGTCCTAGACGTCCTCTAGGCGTTGTTCTTGACGTCTTCTTTGAGGTCGTCCTGTAGGCGCCGTTCTGGACATCGTTTTTGAGGCCGTTCTAGAGGTCATCCTAGAAGTCGTCCTAGGCGTCGTCCTGGACGTCTTCCTCGGCGTCGTCCTAGAGGTCATCTTAGACGCTGTACTTGGCGTTGATCTCTAGGACATCGTCCTAAACTTTAATACGTGTAGAAACATTACACGAAAGCATTTCACTTGCGGGACTATAATGCTTTCGTTTTCCTATGCGTAAGCAGTCTTTCGGACATTTAGTAGTTCAGTGATGTGATTGCTGTGCCAATTGCCCCAAACTGCACGAGGGGCTAACCCTGCTACATCCTGCCAAAATATTGGTAATCTGCACCAAGCCTGGTGCCAAAAAACCAATTTCAGTCGCCTGTCAAAACAGAAACTAAACTGAGGACCATAACTGAGCATGCGTGTGTTATGTGGCGCAAGCAGTTGCCCGACGCAAAGTACCCTGCATCAATTGTCCAACCAGTCTTGCATGGTTTTCCCGCCGTCTCGTGTTACGCGCTCTCGTCGTCTCGTGGGTCCCCTCTTGCGTCTTTTTTTTTTTTTAAATACAGTTGAACCTCGATGTAACGAAGTCGGTAAAATTCGCAATTTACTTCGTTACATTGAAATTTCGCTAAATCGAAATTTGGCTTTAGCACGCGAAAAAAACAAATTCCGAAACATTTTACGGGTATGAAAACTCACCGAAAATGACATTTATTTAGGGGCAAAGTAGTCCGCGAGTTTTGCTTGCGCCTTGTCTGAAAGTAGCAGCGGCGTCGGCGGCGTCATACGGCGTTCGAGCGCCCAGAGCGCTTGCACGGCATCTTGCTGCCCATGCGACGCCGTGTACCTCCTCAGTACGTCCATTGCGTCGAGCACTTCCCGAGTGCTCAGTGCGAGTGCTCGTGATCTCGGCAGTTTCTTCAGGATGGCGTCCAAAACGTTTGCTTTCTCATCCAAAGAAAGAACTTTACGTTTCCTTATGCCAGCAAGCACGTAAGTGAACCGCCCGGTTAAAAAATAAAGCTGTTTAGTTTAGGCGGTGCCAATGTTTCCAACCTACACAGCACTCTTGACCGCACAGTTTACTTGCCCCCTTGCGCCCACAGTGTGCTTGCGCCTTTGCTTTACATCACGCTCGCAAGACGATAATCAGTCTTTTCGGTCTTCTCCTAGATGGCACTGCCCGTGCGGTCGCGCCATCACGTCGCTCCCCCGCTGAAGTTGGCTCCCGCGCTACCCGCAGTACAGTGGACTATGATGATCAGTGAATGTCAGTGGTGATGCTGTTATGCCGTGTTAACTTTTTGCTCGGCATTTTCTGGCCAGCCTCACGGAATCCGCTTTGCCGCATGCCTCGCCGGCGCTATCCTCGGCGCTATCCTCGCCGGCGCCATCCTCGGGCAGCCTAGGAACGTTGGAAGGCCTGTCCCCGTGAAGTAACCTATCAAGCGCTCGCGTTTGCGCATAATTTTTTTTTTAACCACAATTTTTTTGCGAAGTTGTTTTTAGAGTTGATTTATTTATTGCCTTCTATGGCAATGGCGCTTCGTTATATTGAAATAGCAGCAAAATAGACTTCGTTATATAGGGACTAAAAATACATGGGGTCTATGGGCAAGAAATTATGAAACATGAAATACTTCGTTAAATCGAGGATTTCGTTACATTGAAGTTCGTTATATCGAGGTTCGACTGTATTTTCAAGGATAGATGCGAGTGTGTGTGGACGCTCCGACGCTAGCATGCTGGGTACCACCCATGCCGTCATGCTGTGAAACGAAACCACATTTGTACGTGGCAGGAGTTACTTTGTGAGCTGAAGCACTCGCTCCGGAAAGCAACGGCCAAGGTAAAACTACATTTGGTCCCTGCCTTCCAGTCACCGTGGTCGCACGACGTCTGGTGTTGCCGTCCTTACGTCGTGACACTTTCTAAGATGAGACTAAGTACCGCCATATGTACATCAACATTCCTGTTCTTGTTTATATCATGCATTACTACAAAAATCCCTCTTTAACTCGGACTGCTATGTCGAAGTATTGTTAACCAAGGTTTCTCTCTGTGGGCTTTCTTTCGAGGGGGACCCTGGCACTTGAAAAGTCTGCCGCGAAAGAAAGTTGGCGAACAGAAGTGAGCTAAAGCAAAGAAGGCAATGTCTGCATGCTGAACCCGCAGAACGCACTTGTTTTTCTCAAGTTCAGTCGTTGCACATAGCGCTGCAAGAAATTTTTGACCCTGGCTCGCAATGTCTTGCATCGATGCGCTCAGGTTCTTTTTTTTTTTTTGTGTGTGTGTTAGGTTGTACCTTGTTTGTTGGCCTGGCAAGCTCGTGCCGCTGTACTATTTTTTGTCGTATGCTCAACAGCAGTTACATTTCGCATACAATTTTGGGAATCGATTGGCAAAAGGGAAAAGTGACATAGTTTCAGTTACGATCGAACAGCCCTTGTCTCTCCTTGAGCGATGAAGCACGCGCAACTGCAAGCCTGCCGAAGTTGTCCTCATGTGCATGTGAACATGATTGCACGACAAAGGCACCATCCGGGACTCTTGTAATTTATTGTTAGGGGTTTGAGCTCCTTAGGGGCTAGCCATGTCCGTGAGCTCACATGCTCACGAGCACGTGAGCACGTGCTCCCGTGCTTGTGTAGGGCAAAAGAAAAACAACCGCATCTCCACGTGGTGAATGATGTTGATTGGAGCGAAGCTCTGGTGGTGCTTGTCTGCGTAGACGGTGAGCCGCAGCATGCCGAGCCTTTCGTTCGTTTTCATCCGTGTCAGAAAGAGAATGTGTGGTATGGAACGTGGTTATATACGCATTTGGGCATTTGGCCGCAGTGTGACATGGATGAAAACAAACGAAAGGCTTGGCATGCTGTGGCTCAGTGTCTACGCAGACAAGCACCACCAGAGCTTCGCCCCAATCAACCTCATTCACCACGGGGAGATGCGTTTTTTTTTTTTTTTTTTTTTTACGTTTCTTTTTTTTGGACAAAAATCTGGCACGTCGGGAACCAGTAAATTGGTGGCAAGCAGTTTTTCGGAATTGCTCGGCAGTGCCTACAGCACTGTACACTTGTGCAATGTCTCAGCAGTAAAAGCACATGCAGCGAGTTCCGTCACAACACATCACATCAAAACACAACACAGCACAAAGTGCCCTTCGTTTGTACAGCACTTAAAACAAATTTTTATTTTTCTAAGAATATCTGCTCCAAAAGTCACTTTTGCTGTTCCGAAACACTGTCTTGGCTGCTCCAAAAGCCACTTTTGCTGCTCCAAAACACTGCTTTGGTTGCTCCGAAAGGTGCTCCAAAATGGTTTCGGCCAATCCCATCACTGCTAGTTAGAAAATGACGTTAAAAATTGAATCGGAGGTTGCCGTCACTGAACTTACCGCCGCTGGACGTGGTCTCAATGTTTCTGCCCTCGTTGTTTCCCAATGTGCAGGGTGCCTGGCAAGAAGATGGCCAACGTGGCGGAGAACACGCTGCTGGATGCTGAGGCGTCTGTGCTGGCCACGTTTGACTTCCTGGCCACAGAGAACGTGGACATGGATGACGAGGAGGACAACTTCAGGTGGGCTCTTGCTGTCCGCTCCCAGCTGAGCTTACTGACTGAGTGAGGGCCCACCGTGCTTACTGTGCAGCAGCCATGGTTGCTGTTGCCTTGTGCAAGAAAAGAATGTGGTGCTGTAGGAAGCATTCGCATGTCATCATCAGCCCAAGCTAGGGGTGAAAAATAACCATTTGAACGGTGCGATAGGAATCTGGCAAACGCTTGCTGTCGGCACACGCTTGACTTCAAAGCACAGAGCTATGGTGGCCATTGAATACTCTATAAAGCTACTGATTGCACAGGCACAGCAGAACACGCACTTTGATGGGTCTGCACGTCTAGTGCGAGTGGCTCCACGGTAGGACGTTTCCGTTAAAAAGTCGTATCTTGGGGAAAACATTGTTACGCCAGCAACTCAAATACCTGTATCACTGTTGGAGGTATATTTCAATTAGGTTACATTATATTCACATCTTTGCTATATACTAGTCTTTACCGTAGAGGTTTTTGCTGTACGTCCTGTTGCGTTGCTTCGGAAAGTTGGAAGACGTCTGCCTTGGCTTCGAGGTCGTGGACCGAACGATGATGTTGTTCACAACGGGACATGAACTTTCTGCCATCATAACTTCTTTTAACGCGGAATGTGTTTTATGAGTCGTTTCCTATGATAAAGTCGTCGTGATTGTACGTCAGGAGTGTGCAACAGGAACGTGTGTTAAGAATGGAGGGAGCATTGCGTGAAGTTAAGATTACGTATAAAGTTGGAGCCTCAGCGGGGCTCGAACCTGGGCCGGTGCGGTGGCATCCGGATGCAGTACCCCCTGAGCTTCGTAGCACAGCGGCTATTGAGGAGTAAATGATTTTTTCTTTTAATGCTAATGTTCCAGCGAGAGCGGCGCATTTTGAATTGAAATAATGAAATAAATAAATGAATAAAATAAAATAAATAAGAGGTAATCCATAAATAAAGATAGCAAAATAAAATGTTAGTAAATGAAAATGAAAAAAAAATTTATGAAAAAATTAAAAACCTAGCATGGGATACATTCTGTGCTCCCTGGTCTTTATCAGCACGATCAAGCCTGAATTTTTTCTTGTCATGTTTTGGACTGGAGGTTGTAAGGACAGTCAAAGTATTGTCAGAACTATAAAGGAATGAGATCTACTGCACTTCTCTTAAAGTCAAGTTTAAATGTTTGGGCATCAAATGAAGCGAAAGGTGCAGAAACATGTTTGTCGTGCCCCAAGAAACCCATTATGGAAAGGGGCCTCTGTTTTGGGAGGGTTTCTTTCAAAGTTTGTCTCTCACAATGGAAATCCGCGAAATAATTTAGAAATCTTCGACTTTACTGTTTCGGGACTAAGGATGAAATGACGTTGTGCAGAAAGGGTAACCAAAAGGAGTATCAACCTGGCATGTTTTTCTTTGGCTGGCCGTTTTAGTGACGAGATGGAAGACGCAGTGTCGGCAGATGACGAGGCGGAAGAACGGATGGACAACCGGAGAATCAAGTCTAAAGTGAGCATGCCTTGACTGTTCTGCCGTCTGCATACCATAATTACTCAAATAATTAATGCACTTTTTTTTTCCGAAAAATTTACAGATATTGGGGGGGGGGGGCAGCATTTATTACGCAGAGTAAAAGTTCTGCATTTACTGACTTCGTGCAAATGTCTCCACTGATGAAGGCGCACCCACGACTGGGTGGGGGCGCGCCACAGTAACCATGCTTTATAAATTGTTAACTTTTTTAGCGTGCTTTCGTCGTGCCTTTTGCCTAAAGAAAAGCGCCCTACGAAGTTCACTCAGCACGGAGAGCAACGCGACCGTTCTTAGGCCTAACCACTTTCACGATTTCACTGTCCAAAAGTGGACCACAGACGTTGGCGTGTTTGTTGACATCAATGCATCCGATAGGCGAAGAATGTCCGAGGCTGGGCGATTCCTTGACCCAAGCTTCGTCAAGTGTGCATGCCGCTCGGTTTCACGGTCGGTCACTTCTGCAGCTACGCACTTGCCACCGCTTTCAGCCATTACGAGAGCGGCTTGGCTTGGCTTGACTTGGCCTGACTGCTTGGCGGCAAAAGAGAATTGGCTTGGTGGCTAGCTAAGTTGGTTGCAATTTGAAACTTCCGGAGCCGAAAATTGGAGATGTGTTCATTATGCTAATGGAAAAAAAAAGTCCAAATGTTGGTACACATTGTGTTGGGGTGCGTTCATTATGCAGTTGCTTTCATTATGCGAGTAAATATGGTAAGTGGCACCACCGTAGGAAGCTACGTCAAAGTTCAACTCTGAAATTAAGAGGGACGGTTTCCTCCATGGGTTCTGAAACTCCAGGTGCCCAAGCACTCCCCATACTACCCCTACGGGTTCCTCAAGCATGCAGCCCTACCCCAAGCGTTTTTCTAGTTTGAGGAGAATTTACACGTGCTGAGCCGTGCATTGATGCACAAGAATCACCCAGGCACTTCCACCTTTCTGCCTATGGTCCGTTGCAACTCAAGAAGGTAGGGCAAGGGTGCCGTACGTTTTCACATAATGAGCACACTTTTTTTCCTGAAAAATTGATCCATATTTCGGAGGGGGGGGGGGGAGGTGTCATTACACGGGGTAAAATTTGTGCACTTACACACTTCATGCCAATGTCATATTAGGTGTCAATAGGACACGGCAAGGTACTGTGGCACGTCTCCAGTGATGGAGGCACACCCACGGCTGGTCGGGGGCGCGCCACAATAACCATGCTTTATCAATTGCAAACCTTTTTAGGGCACTTTCAGAGTGCCTTTTGCCGAAGGAAAAGCGCCCTACGAAGCTCAGCCAGCACGAAAAGCAACACGACCATTCTTAGGCGATATATATTGCTAGTATACGACAGGCACGCTCAGGTATAATCCGCGACTACGCGTATAAAAACTCGTACGAAGTCCAACCCCCGACCGCCAATCGCATGGATCAAGTTTCGTTCACGAAGAGGCTACCAGACGCTCTCAGCCTAAGCGCAGTGTGCACCTCGCCGTGCCATTCTTTTGCGGGTGAAATAAACGCATTTACCCGGAGTATGTGAAATTAGGCCTAACCACTTTCACAATTTCACTGTCTGAAAGCGGACCACAGACGACGGCTTGTTTGTTGACATCAATGCATCCGATAGGCGAACAATGTCCGGGGCTCGGCAATTTCTCGACCCAAGCTTCGTCGAGTGTGCTCGACACTCGGTTTCACGGTTGATTACTTCCGTAACTACCACAACTACGCACTTGCGGCCATTACGTGAGCAGCCTGGCTTGGCTTGACTTGGCCTAACTTGGCCTGACCGCTTGGTGGCAAAAGAAAACTGGCTTGGTGGCTTGCTAAATTGGACGCAATTCGAAACTCGCGGATCCGAAAATTAGAGGTGCATTGATTACGGGAGGGGAAAAAAAAAGAAGTCAAAGTATTGATGCCCGTTGTGGGGGGTGCATTTATTATGCGAGTGCGTGCATTATGCGAGTAAATACGGTAAGTCGGGCCGGGGAGGAGGAAGCAGACGGAACGCTAAAGAGAGAAGGTTTCCCCCCCACTCCTCCAGCATTCTGTCTGCTGCCTCCTCCCCAGCCAGTCTTACCCTCGCCCTACCTTCTTGAGTTGCAATGGACAATATTGTCTGTAGTATTGCCAACAAAGTTTGTAAACTTTAGAACCACATTATTGGAAGACAATTGAAAGGAAAACTAAGCAAAAATGCTCAATCGGGGTCATTTACCTATTATGCCTTCATCGGGTACCCTAGAGTGTGCCGCGAGCTTTATAGTAGTCAAACAACGGAGGGACCTTGTTTATTCAGTCTCCCTCCAAGTTCGCAAAGAAACCGCTGCACATATTGTCCGACGTCTGGTTAATACGACTTTTGTACTCTGTTCACATACCATATAGGAGGGAAAGCCCGCGCACGACGTCATCATTGGTGGGGTTTAAACCACCTCAAGCAACAAATGCACCGCAGCTCGAGAGGAGTCAACGCAAGACGCTGGGCACGTCCGTCTTGGCGTCGCCGCATGCTGGCATTGCACCTGTTGCGAGACGCTGCAACACGTGCCGTATGGGGGAGGGAGGGAGGGAGGGGGAAGCACAGTCCTTGTCTTCTAGGCAGTATTGAATCCCCCCTAAGCGTCAGATGTTTATCTTTGCCACACTATCACGCCCCCACCCGTACCTACACGCAGAGCGCGGGGTCGGACGCCGAAAGCGAGGCGGTCAATTGGTCTGGAAAGCCCACAGTCCCCGCCCGCGGCATTGTTCGTGCGGGTGTGAACGGAATACGGGGGTGGGTCACGTTCTGTTGCATCCGTTACGAAGCAAACGCCGGGCAGGAAAGCGGTTGCGAGTCGTTGTTTGGGGCGGGCCGCCTTTCGAAACATCACGTCTGTCAATGAAACGTTTCATTCCGACAAGGCCGTCGCTTCCACGAGCACCAACCAATCTGTCGATCTGTCGGGAAGGCACTTGCTGAGTGTGTCTTGTTCCCTTGCTTCGCTTCCAGGCGCTAGGTGCGGGAGATGACCTGGGCGACGCGGACTCCGAGAGTGTCCTGACGGAGTTTGACTTCCTGGGACCAGACTCTGGCGAGGGCGGCCGCGAGGCACGGAGCCAGGGCGATGGCTCTGACTGGGGTGAGCATTTGCCTGCCCCATTCGCTGGTCGATTCCGGTCGATTCGGGCACCTCTGCAGTGAAATGCCACTTGAACAAACTGTTCAGACGAGCAAACATGCATGAGGTTCCCCAGCAGAACACCATTGTGTATAATGCATTCAGCTTAGTAAACTTTCACTTATGTAAAGTCTTTTTTTTTTATGTCATTAGTTTTTACTGTGGGAGAACGGCGGGGAGGAGCTTCAATTGTTCCGCCTCCAGCACAAGCGTCCCGCCTTCCACGATGCTTCGGCGTCTCTCAACCCTCAAACGTGCACTTGCAGCCGAAGCACCATGGAAGGCAACAAGCGTGTGCCGGAGGTCGGGCACCCAAAAGGGCACGCCCCTACCGTTCTCTTGCTGTCCGAGACTAGAGACCTACTCGATCCTTTTTTTCATTTTTACGGTATTCTGCTTTTCTTTTTTTGTCTTTACTAGCTTTGTACCATGTGCATGCTACTGCGGCCAATGGCTGTTTCTGTTCGGGGTAAATGGAGCAATAAAGAACTGAATGAGCTACGCTTAGAGGTGATCGGCGCTTTGATTTGAGTGCAGAGTGGGCACAATTGGTGGCGGTTGCCACTCGGCCGAGCTTGAATGCATTGTCGGAGAGGTCGGGCGATGCCGTTTTGCTTTGTTGTGGACTGTTTTTAACCATATTAAAGAGCAGAAAAGCATTTCCAGTGATGTTGGACAAACCTTTAGATAGCAGGCAGTAGCGATTACTTATAGGTACCAAGATGGCCGAACTGTCGTTGATCTCGAGCATAGCTCATTTAGAGGCTCTCGCCTGATCCTTTCGGCGTCTCATCGGTTCACGTTTGCCCGGTCTGAGGAACAGTTGTTCGAGTCCTGCGAGCGTGCGGCTCAAGTTTCGCACCAGGTGTCGCGTCCTGTTCCGAGTAGGAACGAGATCCGAACCCCCTCGGAGACTTCCTGGCAAAGTGAAGTGTGTCAATTTAACTTTTGCAGTGCATGAATTTAAGTTTTGCAGTGCATGAATTTATCTTTTGTAGTTTATGAGTTTAATTCTTGAAGTGTATGAGTTTAATTTTTAAGGCGTACAAAATTAACTGGTGAAGCACATGAGCTCATAAGCTGAACAAGGGAAGTAGAAGCTCTGGGGGTTTAGGACAGTGAGGGAAAAACAAATGTTGGGAAAGTGGAGACAACCAAGCAGGGGTATGTGGTTGGTTGCATAAGTTAAAAAGAAAATAAATACTATAGTCTTAACTTTTTCCTGTCGATCCGTTGGGCAGAAGATATGCGCACCCCGTTGTGCAGAGGCGTACCACCTCCCCCCTGCTAGACGTTGCAAGCCGCCCCTCGACCCAGGGTGTCTAGCCGTATTCGTCCATCTGTCCCGCACGTTGGCACACAGTATTTTCTTTTGTCCACAACTGTACCTTTCGTCATCGCATCAGAAACGGTCGTTACGGCACTCTCATTAAGCTCACAGCCTCGGAAGTAGCTGGTAAATGATTCTGGAGCTCACCGTCTTTTGTGTGGATTGGGAGGGGAGGTGGGTTTTCTGGGGTCTGGGTCGTCTGTTAGTCTGATCGGGGGGGACAGAAAAGTCAGAGGTGTTGGTCTGGCACCCGAGAAAGAGAGGAACGGGGCTTCACTGAAACGCACGGGGGCGTGGCGACACAGACGGCTCTGAGGAAGACGAGGAGGACGACGAAGAGACAACCGGGGAACAGTGGGGTGCGGACCCTCGGCTCATCTCGCAGTTGGTCGAAGAGTACCGCAGGGAGCGCAAAGGACGCAAGGGCGCCCCCTCCCAGAGTGAGTCTTCTCGTCCCCCCTTCCCTTTCCCCTCCACCTGTCTCTCTCTCTCCCTCTATCTTTCTCCTTTCGGGAGGCAAGCCGTCGGAGTCACTCTAGTCTGGGGCTCTCGGGGGATGACAACAGTTACGGTCGTGAAACAGGATTAGAATTGACAGATTAATCAGACCCAACTGCACTTTAGTTGTCCTCCTCGAGGGTGCATGCGCAGCCAGTGCACTGTGGAGGGCAACGACTGCGTACTGGCGTGTCCAAAAGAGGACACTGTAGATTTCGCTCCCGACATTGTGCGTCTGCGTTTAAATGTAGCAGAAGAGGATGGAACTGGGCCAGGATTGCTCTGCTCGTAAGCGATGAATTGGCTATTTAGTAGTATACTATGCGTTAACAGAAACGAAAGATAAATAATTGTGCTGTTGGTGCCCAACTACTAGTACCAGACCAGTGTGTGTGCACAGACTCTACGTGTCAACGTGGTCTGACCGCCGACTGAAATCCAATTATCGAAGGTTCGAAAGATGCCGTTGGTTCTACCGGTACTTGGATGTCGGTATCTTTCGATCAAAGGAACACTGGCTGTTTGTGATAACAAACGAAAGCCATTGGTGTTGCTATGGTGGACGAATATTCATAGCCCGTCGTAAAACGTGGGTTGCGAGGCTGTTTGAAAATTGTAGGAAAGGTAGATTTTGTATAATAACTGGAATGATTCTTACAAACCCGCCCTCTCTGTAATGCCCCACTGGGTCTTTTAGAGGTACTTAAATAAAGTAAATAAGTAAAAACTATTTGAGGAACTTCCTTTAAAGTCGCTATAATGTTCTGTTTACTTTTTGTTTTGTGGAAGTGAACCTTAGGTGGATATTCAGCGTACAAGGGCAAAGTGACTCCGACGACCCAGCTTTCTTCCCTTCCCCAAGACCATCCTATCTTCTGTATCGGCTCGTCTTTTTTCTGGCTGGAGTTTTGGCTTTCTGTGTGCATTTGTCTGTTGGTTTTTTACTATTTTTATATTTACTTAATGTACACTGCTTGTATCTTGCAGCACTTTGCATGTATTGAGTTGCCCGTTTCATTGAGGGGAAACCGTGCAAGTCGCTAGGTCATGCTGGCAACTTTGGAGCGGCTGGAACCCTTTTTTGCTGAGGGGTAATGGCGTCGGGTCTGGCAACTTTGAGACGGGGACGGCAAGAACATGTTGAGGAGCTGCCCATTCAACCATAGAGGATTTTGAGGAGTTCCGAGGGAGCTGGGGAAAGGTGAAGCTTGAGGTCCAGTTTAGTTTTGGTGTTCACTGAAACTTTTGAAAGGCTGCTGCCTCAGAGCTTCTGAAGTTCACATTCGCTTGCTTTAGTCATAGATGGCTCAGCCCGAATTGCCAGCTTGTACTGTCAGTAACACTGCAAATCAAACGAATGACTGCGTCGAGAACACAACGCACATTCGAGTGAAGAGTACGCAAACTCTCGTGGACGGCCTTCCGACTGGTGGAAACTTTTTTGTAGATGCGGCCCAGGCAATCAAAACCTTTCGCTTGTGCTCGAAGTTGTCATTGGCACGACCTATCTTTTTGCAAAACTTCCCCTATATTATTTTTATGTTTCTGCTTTTCAGAAAACTTCTTTTGGCTTTTATTAATTCTGTTTTTGTTTTTTTTAATCTGCTTGTTGATCTTAGATCTTACTCTTGCACACGCACTGTTTTTCGTTCTTAACCTGCTGCTTTGTTTATTGGGTTAATGCTGTGCCGGCAGTTACCTTTTTGCATCATTCCCAGAGTACCTTATGCATTGCATTTGGGTTCAGTTCACTCTATTCTGGCATTTGATTCTAGATCTAGAATCACTATACCTATAGTCAGACGCGGGGCGTGGACGGGTCCCAAACGTCTCATTATCGCTCCGCATCCAACGAGTTTTGGCGTTAGCCAATAAGAACGCCAGAGGGTGAATTGCCAAGCAAGAAGCCTCGTTTTGTAAGTTGTCAAATGGCTATAGCTGTAGCGTCGTTTTAAACCTTAGAGATCTCTTTCCTCTGACCTCTAAAACTGAACCCTTTTCAAATGCACGTTGGAGTGAGCTGAACTGCAGAGTAACTGTATGCTAGGCACGCTTTATTGACAGTTTGATTGCACGTTTGACACCTTTCGTGCCGAACGACGTTGGTAGCACATTGATTCACGGAGTGAAGCTTTCTCTGTCCGATTGCCTGGGCGTCCTCGCCCCCGGATGGATGCTCCGGCGGTCTTTGGTGAAAGCTTCACCCTCGAGTGTTCTAGCGCATGTCACGTCGCTCACGCAGTACTAACGGCGTTCGCTTACTGCGCCGTCGTGTGCCCAATCGAAATTGATAGTTGCCGGCAGGATGGGAACAAAGGAGCTTCTCTTTAAAGCATCCGGCTTTACTTCTGCTGGCAACTATAGCGCCGAGATTTAGATCAGGTTTTAGCTAAGCACGAACCATTGTGTTTCTATCTGCGACGTCGGAGCCGCTTGCTTTACTGACTAGAGCACCTTGGAAGGCAGTAAGGTTACACTATAGACGAGTCGTAACGGGAGGCTCTTGAAGAAAATACCTACCGACCCAGAGCGCTGCCGGCACACGACGCGCTAGTACTCGTGAGAGAGAGAGACTGCACTGCATGGATCCTGCTCTAGTTTTTTTTATTTTTATTTTGTTTGGACTTGCATGACGTTGCTCCGCCCCCTCCCTTCCCTCTTTCCCCCGTGCACGATTGCATCCGACCAGGGCCAAAGCGGTCCGCCTTGCAAGCAATGCTGGCTTCGCTGTCAACGCCCCCCGGGGCAGGCTCCGCCCCCTGCGAGGAAGGCTCCGCCCCCACCCCGGGCTCCTCTTTTTCCTCCTCCCCCTGTGCCCCTCCTCCCCAGCCCACTGGCTCCACCTCCAGGGAGTCTCCCTCATCCCCCTCTGCCCCCTCCTCCTCCTCCTCGTTCACGTCTGCTTCGGGGGACGGCATGCTCAACGGCAGCGGCCAACCGCAGCAGGGGTCTCGCCTGGGTTACGCCTCTTTTCTGGAGGAGGCGGAGGATAACGGTACGTGGGCGGGGCTTAGGTAATGATTGACACGCGTCGGCCGCGACCGTGCTATCTTAAGCGTGCAGAAACTGCCCGGAATACCGCCTGTAGCTTTGAAACTGTGTGCCAGGGCCAACGTTACTAGGTCGAAGTCGGTTGGCACGCTTCCTAGATCGCCCGACACCTTTTCCTGGCACATCGGCTCGGTGGCGCTCACTACTACGGACGGAAGCAACGAAACCGGTGAAATTTTAGATGCATGTTGCCTGCGGTGGAAAGTGGATACCAAAAAAAAAATCTTGTGCGGGCGATCTGCAGTTCTGGCGCATGCGACAAAAGAGTTTCTTGCAGGTTTCCATGTTATCGTCTGGGACCTGCACACTCGTGATATTGGTTCCCGTGACGTGCGAGTTTGTGGCAGATTTCCGCGTTTTCTTGTCGCGGTCCGTGCGCACAATGTCAATTTGTGCGGCGTGCAAGTTTAACCGGTTTCCGCATATTTTTCGCACTGTGAAACGTGAATGTGCTGCGTCCGCAGTCTGCAGTGTCCTCTCCCGCGACACGGGAGTTCGTAGCGAATTCCCACGCAGTTATTGCATTGTGAAGCGCAAAATTGTGGGGTCTGCGGCCTGCAGTATCAGGTCCCGTGTCACGTGGTTTGTAGGGGGTTCCCCTTGTTTTTATTATTAATTTTTCATAAAGTTCTGTTGTCTCATCCCGGATTATGGCCCACATTATGTTTTTTACCATTTATTATCATTTTGGGTTGGCGGCCCTTACAGGATTTTACGGTATAGTGTGGTTTTCCAGTGAATGCGAAGTTCGTACAAAAGTCGGTGAAAAAAAAGCGTCATTCAAAAACAATCGGTTTCCGTTGGGCGTTGCCGCGGTGGTGCTAGGAACACTACCCACCCATGCCCGCTCGTGTGCAGGCAATGGACAAGAATCGTTTCCGGACGGCACTTTTTTGTGGAGCTCGTCAACTAATAGGTCCAAGGACGTTGGCCAGATCTGGTACAAGACTATCACATAGTGGCACATTAAGGCTGGTGCGCACATTTGTTTTTGACTGTGTCGAGTGTATTGTCATCTCGTGTTACCGCTTAATTAACGTACTGGCACACTGGCACCATAAGTGGGGTAACCCTGGAACACACCTGGCCTGTGTATATATTTCAACAATACTTTTGAACATTTTTTTCACTGTGGGCTTGAAATATTCTGACAATGTTACAGGTGACCGGTTCTCATAAATAGTGCATAGATTTCACCTTGCAAATGGCGTGAAGCTTTCAGCCTAGTTATACACGGGTTAGAGGTGTTCTAAATCCACCTCATAGATGGCGCCAGTTTGCCAGCGTGTTTTAAGCGGTCGCAAGAGATGACAACACAATCTGCACAGTCAAACACAAGCGTGTGAACCAGCCTTTATGTGCCGCCACTACTGTACAAGAAACATTTCCGTTAATTAATCTCGTAGGGTTTGTTATGACCGCATCCGTCCGTATTTGATCGTTCGGTCGTTCGTTGGTTTCACGAGTTACTGCGGGAGTGGTGGTTCACACCATCGCCCTCGATGTGAACCACCACTCCCACGAACATAACCTAAAATTCCAAAAAAGGCTGGACGTGCTTGAAATATCCACGGTAAGTTATGCTAAACAACTCTATGCTGCGTTACTCTTCTTAGCAATATTTTCGCTGTTAAGAGCGTGTCCCAGTGCTCCTTATTGAATTTTTTTGAGGATGTTGCTTCGCTGTGGCGAATTGCAGCCACTTTTTTTTCGTATTGCCTTAGTGACTGATGCAACAGGAAAGCCCTTTAAGTGTTTGGGCATTTGCCCTGTGAGCACCCGGAATGGGGAAAACTTAAAAATGCTTAAAGATAGGCAGTGGGAGAGGAGGACTTTGGTTTACAACAGCGCAGACACGTCCCGGGAGATTGGCAGCGGGTGCGTTAAAGGGATATTTCAACAAAATTTGAAATATACTCGTCGTGTTTGGAAATAGGTTTAATATGATCCACAATATCCGTTAGTGACAATCGCACATTTTTATTTTGAGCTTGATGGCTGTATTTTTCGTTATAAACGGCCCACTCTGGCAAACGCTCGGAGAGCAGCTAGCGGAGAGCACGTCATATTCACCACAATCGTGACTTAGTTTGTCTCGGGACCTTACGTCCGGACACAGCGGACGCTGCGAGCTATCCCAGCCAATCCCGGACTGTGGACGTAGCCCGTGATAAGCTTTCCGCGCGTCGCTCTGCCCCCTCTCCAAGGTCACGTGACATTCACACAGCCTTGGATAGGCCCCAATGGCTCGTAGCATCCACTGAAAGCAGCCGAAGCAGTTTAGCGATCGAACCACCCCAAGTAACCCCAAAGCTGCCTTTGAACAAATTTTGAGGGACAATAGCGACTTCTGGGACACACAAAAGAGGAGAATCGCAGGGAGAGGGGAGTTCCTCCTTCAGCTCTTCTCTCGTCGTGGCGGGAGGCGAGACAGTTCCCATCACTACCTGTCAAGGTTCCTAGACGGGCATTACAAATGAGGCAATAGCGACATCCACCAGGTGCCCTTTGCTAATCGTTTAATTTGTTTTAAAATTTCTTTTTTCGTGTCTCTTTTAACTAGAGATTAGTGTGTCTGATGTAACAATGCTCCCTTGAACACAAATAGACCAAGAAATAAGCTTCAAAAGTTTGTTGTAGTATCCCTTTAATGCGTCACTGCTCGAAGCACTCGGAGCGAAAGCTCGTGCTGCAATACCCGGGGACCCCAAGTTCGAACCCTACTCTCACCTGTTCCAATTTGGAAGAACTTAGTATACCGGCGTGCAGTAATGTGACGCAACTGCGTGACGCACATTAAAGACCCCAGGCTAGCGGTGGCACTGCACCGGCTAAATTCCTCATCTAGAGCGGAGACACCAGATGTCCATGGGACCCAACTAGTTTCCTGCCGTCCAAACGTGCGCAGAACGCAATAGACCCTTTTCGAAAGGATGCATAGATTATGTGCAGCCGCCATTAGTTGGTCCTGCACTGTGAACGCTCATTGGACACGAGCGCATCGTCGGCATTCGGAGTGTACTCGGATTGAAAAACATTCCACACGAGTGGTGCGCAAGTGCTCGGCGCAAACTCTGAACCAATCACGGGCTTCACGCCGGATGCGATGAAACCAACGAATGGCAGCTGCGCATAATCTATGCATCATTTCACAATTTCAAAAAGGTTCATTGGAAAAAAAAAAGGTCGGCAAAAGTGAGCATTGGAAAGTCCGCGACTGGTCGTGACGCGCAGGCGTGCTTGTGCTTTGCAGGCCCACGACGTCCGCTAATGGGCGCACCTGGCGTGGACGAAGACAACATCGACGCCTCTCTCGGACTCGGAGAACTCGCTGGACTCACCGTCAACAATGAGGCAGAGTCCAGTTACGACGTAAGGATGCTTTCATCTTGAAACGCGAGAGTGGGACGCGTCGAGCACGTCTGGCTTTCCTCGCGGTTTAACGCGGAACGGGTCGCAGGGCTGGATTTTACGAGGAAAGCGACGCGTCACATTCAAGCTAAACGCACACATCCAGGACACACGAGCCGTGTTTATTTTTGGCGCATTAATAAGACATGGGAAACGGCAAAGGAATGAAGCAGTGCAATGCAGTGGCTAGCATGCCCGAAAGGCAATCAGGAGACCCAGAGTCAACAATTCCGGCGCCTCCAAAGATTGTCTTTGGGCGGCTTCGTAACCTCTGCTCCGTTCGGTCAGTTTGGTTCATTCATTTACGTATTTTCAATTGTCTGCGTGCACACCGTATCGTGCTGTATTGTCTATATGCACACCGAGCTTGCAGTAGGGTGTCGCGTGACATCGGATTCGTGCGAATGGGACGTCACAGACGTGGCATGTGTCCAGCTGATGGTCAGCCCATTCTGTGCATTTTAACTACAGCTCCATCTACTAATAACTATACCAGATGTAACAATGTTTTGCTTCTAACAATCGGTTTTTTGAGTTTCTAGACTAGAAACACTCGGTTTCTAGTCCACGTACGATAATAGGTTTTAACGGTTGAATTTCCGGGTTTTTCCAGTATCGTCGTAAGCTTATTGCACTGTATCGAATATGATTGAGACATTTTAAACTGCCTTCTGTTGACACACTCTCGTAGTTCATGCGTAATCTAGAGCGCGGACATTAATTGTGTCTCCCTTACGCACACAAACTCGTGGACGTCTGGCGGAAGATTCTAAAGGCTGTCCACGCTCACTTTCAGATCTCCGCAACGAAAGAGTCGTTTCGGAAAACGTGGAACGCAAAGTACACCCTCCGGAGGTAGGTAATTCCCTACAAGTCTCGCGTCTGTTTTTCGATTTGACACTCGAGGGAAATTGCGAGCATCCCGTGCGTGCCTTGCCCCGCAGCCACTTTGACGGAGTTCGTGCTCTGGCATTCCACCCCGTGGAGCCGGTGCTCATCACGGCGTCGGAGGACCACACCCTAAAGCTGTGGAACCTGCAGAAGACGGTGCCAGCTAAGAAGTGAGCCTAAGCTTCCTTTTTCCTCTCTGTTTCTCTGTATTTGCGTTGTCTGCGTCTCTCTTTGTGGATTTGTTTTTATGTCTTTCTCTAACTCGGTCTCTGCCTTGCTTGCCCTTGTGTCTGCTTTGTTTCTTTTTCCCCCTTGTATCTGTTTCTTACTGCACCTTTGTGCCTGTGTTTCACTATTTATTTGTGTGTCTGCGATTGTCTTTAGCTTTGTATCTGCACCTGCCTCGTCTTCCCTTGCGTCTTGTTGTCTGCAGTTCGCTTTCTCCTTGTATCTGTTGGCCTGTATGTCATATCCTTTCTCTCTGTGCCCAAGTGCTTGATTGCCTGTTTGAGTACTACTCTGCCCGTGATGCATCTGATACAAGAGAGCGAACCAGCAGTCTGTTGTAGTCTTTTTGTTGCATGGAAAGCTGCGATCTAAGACGTCCAGCGGTTTAAACTAGTTAGGCTCGTCTAATTGGCTTCCTAGCCTGATTTGCGGGCATCTCGTGGTTTACGAGCCCTCGGATTTTATGATGCAAAAGTGCACAACGCACATCAGTGCCTACATAACACGACCGTGTATCATCAACTCTGTTGTTAATTCTCTGAAAGTAAAACAGTACTGCTAGTATCTGTGCCCCTTGTTTGCCAACCAGGAGTGCCAAATTTTGGGGACAAACATTGTCTTTTGCCTTTCAGGACGGCAGCTCTTGACGTTGAACCAGTCTATACGTTCCGGGGACATGCGTGAGTTTGCCTTGTTTTCCATTCTAAAAACGCGTTGCGCTTCCCAGTGTATGCCCACGCTACTTTTCCCTTTACACATGCATTTGGCTTAATTGCCAGATCTGAAAGTACTTGAGTTTTGGGCACGAACAGTACTTTGAAGGAGATTTTAGCAAACTTGCATACGTTCAAAAAATGCTTCTATTACTTTTACATTGAGCAGACAATCTCCACGAATCTTGTCATGTGGACTGTTTCAAGTGGGCGTTCTGGCCCTATAAAAAGGCCTCTATGACCTGCATATAACTTTCCCGTATCGCTTTTATGTTCGTTGCCCCTTTCGCTCAGTCGTGCGACTGGGTCCTTCATCCCTGAAGAATCAGAGGAGGGTTTAAACCAGATGATATTGAAGGTGACAATGATTATGATGATGATGTGACTTAACCTGCATACTTCAGGGGCCCCGTGCTCTGCCTGGCGATGAGTGCGACGGGTGAACAGTGCTTCAGCGGCGGCCTTGACCACACTATACGTTGCTGGAACGTCCCCAGCTCGGCGATTGACCCCTACGATGCATTCGGTATGTCTGTGCCTTTGGTCCCTTCGCATGTTGTTCGTGGATTGGAACATGTGCGTTCCGCATTGGGAGTCGTAATCATTATCCTTAGCTACCCTCCTTCACGCTTTTCTTGATGACAAACAGGTTTCGAGATATCTTAGACTATTGGGGGACATTGCATGTTTTAAGGGAGGGCACTATTTAAAAGGGTCAACTTTACAACTTTCGGCTTTATACGAATGAAATTTACAGTATATACGGGCAGTTGAGAGGCAGAATGCAGTGCAAAGTTTCATCTGTGTATGTGAATCGTGGAAGAAATTGGTCATGTGTACCAGGAACACGCTGGCTTCGTTTTAGAAAACCAATGTAATACCCAACATTTTTCTTCACTAAATATACAGCAGGATGCCTAGAGATTGTAACTGTGAAGACAAAATTTCCAAAAATTTATGTGCTAACATTGCGCTGAAATATTGAATACATTTTCTGCCTTTTATGTCGTGAACCAAATCTTAAAATCTTTCATAAAAGGTGTCAACAAAGTAAAAAAAAAAATACAATGCCACAGTAGCATTGCCCATTAAATTCACGTTAGAAAAAAAAAAATAAGTGAGTCTTTCCTTTTTTCCTTGTGACCAAACAATAGTTTTCCTAAAGTGAAATTTATGGCAAAAAGTGAAGCGGAGGAAGATGCGTTGAAAGTGCTCAAACTTCTACCTTTACTTTAGAGTCGGTGAACTGAAAATAATGTAGAAAAAAAATAGCTATGCAGTGTAAACAAATTAGACTTTCTGCGAATACTCTCGATGTTGGTAGAGGTAAATTTTGTTCTTACTACCTTTATCTCCAGCCTTCATCTTCAGTTCCAAGGTAATATTTCATGTGCCTTACATTGGATCGCCGTAACGCATCGGGCGGACGGTGTGGGCGCCACATATTTCTGTAACGGCGTACAATCAAATCTCAATAAAACAGACTTCACGAGACCACAAAAAATTGTTCGTTATTCAGGAATACCGCTTTAGGGAAAAACTCTTCAACCGGCAATACAAGAACTAAATTGGGACGAAAAAAATATCCTGCCTCTGCAACGAGATGGCACGGAGTCGTTTCCGATCAAAGAGCATTACATGCGATGGAACACCGCATATATATTGGAAGAAATCTGTAATCTATTTCTGGTAGGTGCAAAGTGATTGATTTCACATCGTCGACGCTCTCGCGAAGCGCGTCAGTCATGTCGGTACAGCTTTCAAGGAACATGCGCAGCTTGCCGGTGATACTCGGTACACGGGAGGTAGAGACAGATTCTTTGCGGCGATCTGCGAGCACTGACTCCACGCCTTCATTGGTCTGGGCGTCCTCAATGCTCCTCCAGCGTTACTTTTCGCGGACGTTGTTTAGAGCATCATTGGTCGTCGGCTCTGCCGAAGTCCACGCTGCATCGTAGCATTGCACGTTATCCTCAAACTAGACCGAAGGGTCCACAGTTAGCTTACATTGCTCCACGGTTAGCTTACATTGCTTTCGTCTGGTTGCTCACCAGCTTCTGGCTGGATTGGAGTTTCCAGAAGACCAGTTTTCGGTACAGGAACTCGTCGTCAGAAAACGAAACCTAAGCTCACGGCACGGGGAAGTTGGAAAGAAGCCTCGCCGGCCAACGTGACTCAACAAATACGGGACAAGAGCCACACCTGGCGGCCTAGCGTGCATTTGTCGCCGGCCAGCGTTTGCAGTCAATGGTGGCCATCAGTTTTGGGCGCCGCCTAGGGGCGGAAGTCACCAAGTAGGGGAAGCGCGCGAAATCTTTCATTTCCCACTTAGAATATAAATTTGTAACATTCATATGTTTTGCGCGTACAAGAGCAATTAAGTTGCCGTATTTGCACGAATATAACGCGAGGGCAGGTTTTGATGTCCTCAAAAAGAAAAAGAAATATTACTATTATAACGCGAGCCGAGGCCACGTCAATTTCTCACGCTCGGGGACATAGCAGAAGTGAAAAGTCAATGGAAATAGGAGTAATATCAGTTTATGTTTTGACTGCGCTCATCCTAACTGCTCAGGTCCTTCCGTTTACAATCCACTCTGCGACTACTGACTACGCAGATAAGCAGCAGCACCCCACCACTTGTCCGGTAGTTCGTTTTTCTTCGGCGTGAGCTCCTCGGCAGCCCACAATTCAAGCAAGGCACGAAGCAGAAGCACCAACACACAAACACCAGACCACTCTGGAGCAGAAACTAAAAAATGCGCAGGCAGAAAAAATACTGAACCCGATACACGATGAGGCTTCTTGTTCTGGTTCCTCCGCATAAACAAACACCTTGTTTGCACGATTGCATAAACGAGATCGGTGGTCTTGGCTTGGCTTGTGTTGACTTGGCCTGGCTTGGCTTGGCTTGAATTGGCCAGTGCCCACATTCCCGCGTGTCGCGAAGGTTAGTTTCTGCGGCGTGCGCGTGTTGTACAAACACAAAAGCGGTAAAAGTGATTTTTATCTTTTCTATTCGCCCCTTCACGTGGCCCAATAGCTAATAATTTCCCTCCCACACCCCAACATCTTTTCCGACCCGATGTCCTGCATTGAGCAGCAGGGATGGCTTTCTCCAGACTTGCGCGCCTCGTGGCTGAACTCGATTCCGAATATAACGCGAGGTGAGTTTTGAAGCACGTAATTCCGAAAAGAAACTCGCGTTACATTCGTGCAAATACGTTACATACATTTTCCTAAAATAGTTTGCATCTTGAAATTCGTACTGCCGAAATATTTTTACCTTGAAACTATGGAATGTTCTAAAGGGGATTTCGGAAATTTTTATAAATCTAAAATATAGTTCAGTCGTTTGTTCACAATAACTAGAGTTGATTGTATCGCTTCACAAAAGCGACCTTCACGGTTGTGCAATCTCGAGTCTTATCTATGCAGAGTGCAAGTTAGTCTGCTCGTTGCACAGGGGTTGCGACGACGTCAGAACACCAAGCTCTTATTGGCCACTTGAAGAAAAAAAAAAGCAGTGGGTAGACCTTGAGGCATCTAACATTGAGGTCTACCCACTATCCTTTCAATAAAGGCCAGTCGGAGCTCAGCATCGTTTGACGTCGCCGCAAGTATAGCACAAGAAGCAGGCGATTCGCTCTCCGCATTGTCCCAAGCGCCGGGCCGGCTGACGTCGCCGCGCACGCGTGTGCAGAGCCCAGCGTGCTGTCGGCCACCCTCTGGGGCCACACGGACGCGGTGTGGAGCCTGTCGATGCACGCGGCCAAGCTGCAGCTGCTGTCCTGCTCGGGGGATGGCACGGTGCGCCTCTGGTCCCCGCACAGCAAGGTGCCCCTGCTGCACACCTACACGGCCCCGGAGACAGGTGGGTTCGTGCGATTCGCACCGAAGGCATCGCGAAGCGGTTTTTAAAGCGGAACACATTTATGTGGAGCGCAAGTTTGTCCGCTTCTTTTGCGGGGGGTCGTGGCGATGTCGGAACACTGAGCTCCGATCAACTCCAGTTGGAACATAGGGGGTAGACCTCAAGGCAGCTTGCTTTGAGGTCTACCCACTGTCCTTCAACCAGAGCCAATCGGAGCTGGCCTTGTGACGTCACTACGACCCGTGCAAAAGAAGCGGACAAACTTGCTCTCTCCGCATTCTCGATTTCACCTCGCGACGAATTGCAATGAATGCCTCTGAAGCCCCTCAACACGTCTGTGCTTGCAAGCGGCGTCGGTTGCGCCAAAGCACGAGGCCCATGCGGTCCTTGGAGGTGAGCGGCGGCGTGCCCCTTTCCCGTGGCACGTGCCTCGTGCAATTGCAGCTCGTGAGAAACGCGAAGCGCAGGTTCTGCCGGGGGGCTTTAGACGCTACTAGCGGTCTTGCTCAACGCTCCGGGCTAGTTGCGTGGCCTGGCGCGCCGCTGCGCCTCACAAGAAGGTCGCTCAACTTGTCCTGCATTTGAATAGCTTTGACGGCTACGATCCATTGTAATATGGGGCGGAATGTAGGGCATTGCAAAAAGTTCTCACAAAAATGTGATGACGTGCAGAAATCACGTCGCTTGAATTGAGCACACATCAGGAAGTAATTGGTTTACGTATGCAAGAAATACTGTGCTTGACTCTGCTCGCATATCACAGAAATATTGTGCTTGATACTGCACTGCGGTATGCATCACATACCGCTGCGCTTTGCAAGGTGCTTGCGTCGTGCAATTAAGTTGGGACAAAGGCAGGTGCTCGACCCTTCAAGTGCAAGCTCTGTTAAGATTTAGGAATGACGCCACCTCTCCTCGTGTCTTGCAGGGGACGGCATTCCGACGTCGGTGGACTTTGTGCGGTCGGACCCGGGCCAGATGGCGGTGGCCTACACGACGTCGCGCTGTGTCATCGTGGACCTGGAGACTGGCAAGCCCGTGATACGGCTGGACAGCGACCAGAGTCCAGGTCAGTTCAAGTGGACTCCACCTACAACACAGTCGTAGCTTTAGCTTTAGCCCGAGTCGTAGCCGTAGTCGTAGCCTTAAACACAGTGACGGGCTTTTTCTAAGCTTTCACGCGAGGTCTGGCTCGTTTCGTTTGTCGCTTCTCAAAGGCATCCAAATTGGGTGGAGCCGGCGTGACATTTTATGAAGTGTGCCAGAAGTACTACTTCCTTAACTTGTGCATATGCAAGCTAAGACTTGCTTTCTACCCTCCCTCATGTGGTTGTTTCCTCCTCTGTCACGTACAATCGCCATTTGCCCGCCAGATCACACTGCCTCGAGACTCCCAATTGGTTCGGAGGGTTTGTCCTTTACGTCAATGACAGACCGTTCCTTTCTCGGGCCACGCGCTTCCACTGCTCTGCGCAGTCGACGAGGGATGGGTGCGACCGCTCCTCCGATCTAACTTTTTAGGAAGCGGTAAATTTGAGCAGCTTGTTACGACGTGAAGTGTCCACATTTTTCGGCCCGTCAAGCTCACATCTGTTCGTAGACTAGAGAGGCCAATTGTAGATGTCGAGGCGCCCGTAGAACATGGGAAGTGTTGATTCAAGTTTTTGTCGTTGCTACATTTGCTTGCTTTCTTAGGTGCGCAGGAAATGGCATCGAAAGCAGGACGAGCCAAGGTCTCTATTGAGAGGGTCTTTCATTTTCTACGTTTGCAGACGCCAGTGCCCTGAGTAAGCAGATCAACTGTGTGGTGAGCCACCCGACGCTGCCCATGACGGTGACTGCCCACGAAGACCGCCACATTCGCTTCTTCGACAACAACACCGGTGGGTGTCCAGGCCTTTCGTTGAGATCTGCGCTGCCACCTGGCTATCGAGCGACACATTTAATGTCGTACAAGTCAGGCACGTAATACAATGAAAGCCAATCATGCTGAAATTTAATGCGTACATTAACATCAATTTGCAGACGTCCGAGGAGCAAATTCATCATTTTAACTTGTAGGAGTCGGGTCAGTTATATTCTGCAACGGGTTAAAAACGCAGAAGCTGCCATGTCACCGACTATAGGTACAGTGTAGACCGCATATAACGTATGTCGCAGGAGTCGCGAAAATCTGCACTATAAGCGGTACCGCGCTATAACCAAAACATCAATTTTTCAGGCCAAAATACATGCCATGAGACAACTTACCTTTCTAAAAGAATTTATTTTATGTTAGATGAAAAATAAGCTTAGTTTGAGGAAAGTCGTCTTTATTTCACCAGACTAGTACACTTCTCTCTCAAGTGTGTCACACATTTTGAAAGAAATGAGTGACTTTTGCCTGGCGCAGCCTTTTAACGGCGTCGCGGGTTGCGGACGGACGTTGCGAGCGTTCAGGTGTGCTAACCCTAATCACTTTTCTCCGGCGATGAAAACGCGTGAAAATTTGCATCCTTTATACGGTACGCGCCAGTAATACCTTCAACTTGAGCACAGGCATGAAATGCTCCAAATAAGAAATCTGGGCGATGTTCGAAAACACAAATGCTTAGAAAGCATTACTGTAGTCGAAGTAAACATACACAACAACACGGGCATTTCTGCTGTCTTGAGAGTGCCGCCACAACGTCGCCGCACGAGTAGGTGGATCTTCCTTTCTAGTACGTGCTGGGTTATCATAGCCACACACAACGGAAATTCACAGTCAAGGATAGCGCTTTTACGCGGACCGATGAGCTTCCACCACGCCGTAGTTCACTTTAACGCCGTTTACGCCGACGATCACAACCGACGCCATGTTCGCGGATAGAAGCAACCGGCCCGCGACCGGTATGCAACACGCGCGAACACTTCTCCTCGGCCTGCGATTGGTCTGTCGTTGCGGTTTGTTTCCAACGCAGCGGAGGGACGCACGCACGTGAACGACACGTGCTTGTGTCCCTCCGTCGCTATGGCAACTGAAGCCTCTCTCTTCGCTTCTCCCCGCTTCTTCGAGCCTTCGAGCAACCTCCTTGCCCCGCGAGTGCCGCTTGCGGCCATTGCGGCTCGCGCCATTATCTAGTGTCGCACAGGGAAGCGTGCTCGCTGCGCCGCTCAGTCGGCGCGCTGTTTTAAAAACCGCACTATAACCGGTATTTCCCTTCGCGCGCCTGCATTTTAAGCGGTATGTAAATACATGGAGTTCTATGGGAGGCGAACCGGTGGTTTAAAAAAGCCGCGTTATACCCGGTCCTGTTTTATAAGCGGTTACGTTGTAAGTGGTCTATACTGTAGCTGCCTGGTAGTGTCAGCGATTTCATCATTTGGAAGGTGGAATCGAAGATAGCAGATAATTGATAGGTGAATAAGGAACTGAAAAGTTGGAGGTCCGACGTGGGATTATGTATCTAGGAGCTCCAAATGACGTCTGTGCCTGCCATTCCCTCCCTGTGCAGGCAAGATGGTGCATTCGATGGTGGCCCACCTGGACGCTGTCACCAGTCTGGCCATTGACCCCAACGGTCTCTACCTGCTCTCTGGGAGTGAGTATTGGCCTTTGTGCAGTCACTGCGAGCCTTTAGTGCCTTTGAGAGGGACACCGACGTGGCAGTCGCGCTCGCCGAGATTTTCTGGGGAATTGCGAGCTACGAGGGGCAAACTACCCTGAACAAATGTTTGTGGTTTGAAAGCTGTTCTTTTTCTGCATCTACAAAAGTGGCCGGTTGAGAGTTAGGTGTTTGCTCTTAGGACATCTTAAGCCACATATTCATTAATAAAAATTAATTGAATTATCATAGCTTAATCGGTCCTTGAACAGGAAGTGACTGCACTTATCTCGCCCTTGGGTTGAAAGGGCAGTAGAGGCTATGTGCTCGTTAGTCCGGTCACATGTCTTCGCCGTGGGATCACGCTCCTGCCTGTACCCACACGCAGGTAGAGAGGTCAGGTGATGAAGCTCGTAGCTTCCAGCGCGCCGTCGGCTTAGGGGTGAACAAAGTATAATGACGACGTCTCTTTGGAGTGCACCTATTGTCGGTCTGTCATGCTCACCTCTGCTGCCCGTCTTTGCACAGGCCATGACTGCTCGATCCGGCTGTGGAACCTGGACAACAAGACGTGCGTGCAGGAGATCACCTCGCACCGCAAGAAGTTTGACGAGTCCATCTTTGACGTGGCCTTCCACCCGTCGAAGCCCTACATTGCCAGCGCGGGCGCGGACGCCCTCGCCAAGGTCTTCGTCTGAGGTCCCTCCCTCCTGTCCCCCGCCACTGGGGGTTCGTCTGCCAGCGGAGAGGAGGAAGCAAGCAGGCGGCAAACGCCGCCCTCCCGTGTAACATAACCCCACCTCCCCCCCCACTGCTGCCGTCGCGCCTCTACGCCTAACTTATTTCCCCACCGCCGGGGGTTTGACGTGGACTTGGCGCCGTGTGACCTTGGTTTGACCTTGAACAACGCTCCGAGTTCCCCGCCCCGAACGACCGCGTCGAGACGGGAGCCTTGGTTCTACCCCGGACGACGTCGGTGTGACCTTCAATTGACCTCGAACGGCATGCGTGCGACCTTGAACGACTAGTTGCGGAGCTCCCGGAGCCCCAGACTCCGCAAAGCCGCTTCCAGACAGCCGAAACGGGTCCCTGGAAAGCGCGGGACGTTCGATCCGCCCCCACCCCCCCGCAACGGATTCGGGGCGCAACGCGACGCAACTTAAAAAACTGGAGGTTTTTGCGCCGCTTTGTTTTTAAGCGTCTTGCTTTTCTTGCTCCCCGTTTCTCCCCCGCTCCTCCTTTTTTTTTTTCTCCGGGGTTAGTTTTACCGGTAGGTAGGTAGGTAGCTGTAGACGTGTGTCTCTCCGGCCTAGGCTCTCTCGTTGACCCATTCGCACGACCGTCGTCTGCAGACGACAGACGGGGACCTCATCGCATCGCGGGATTCGTTGAAGCTTTCGACCTGCGCGCTTCAGCCAACGTCCCGGGTCTTCCGTACCATGCGGCGCCGCCGTCGGGCACCAACGACACGAGCGAGTCGCGAAACCGGCAGTTGGCGGCCGCCCCACACCCTCCCCCGAAGTCTGAATTCGTGGCGCACACTTTCCGCGGTCGCAGTAGCCTCTCCGGTAGATTTTACAAGCCCGCACAAACGCGCAAGTTGCCACGGTTTTCCCGGTTTCGAGAGCAGAGTGTCGACGTCTTCAAAATTTGCCTCGTCGCCTTCGGGGAGTGGCAGCTAGGAGGCGGAAGCGAAAAGCTTGCCGTTCATATTTTTCTTGTGAAAACAACAAAAGAAAAAGCGACGACGCACGCAGGTTATTTATTGTTGGCTGCGAGATAAGCAGGTTCGGGAAGAGGCGAGTGTGTTCGTAAGGATTCGTAAAGACTGCGGAACGTATTGGAGACACGCGCGCAACGTTTCCTCGACAAAGAGACGACCAACCGAGGCACGCGAAAGTGCTCTTGAAAAAGTACTACAACACTACGACTCTTAACTACCTACCAACTACTCATCCACTTGTACAGTATGTATGTAGTCATTTTGAATGTTTAGAAAAACAATTGAAAGTTTTCGTTTCGACTCCCCTCCCCCCCCTTTTCGTTTTTTCTTTTTTTTTTTTCTTCGATCTGTGGCGTTTTACTATGGGAGGCAAGACTCGCATTTGCAAAAAAAATGAATACTAGGTTTTTAAAGATGCTACGTGCATGCGAGGAAAGCTTGTGCAAGAGAAAGGGGGCATTTCCCCGCTCCTGCCGACGGAACAAGACGGTTTATTTCGACGACGACGGTAAATAAAGATTTGTGAGTGATGCCGATTCGCCGGGCTTATTTACAGCGATGGCTGTTATGGGCTATTAACTACTGGAAATGACGTCTGTTGTCATTCCATAGTTGTAGTTGATGTACAGTAATCCCTCGTTATAACGAAATCACTTTTTTTTCATTATCGCTTTTATCGAAGTTCAACGTGGTCCTGGCCGAAATGCACGCATTTGTAACCGGATTATTGAAAGTGTACCGGTGGACGACCACACTTATTACAATGGCCGAGGTGCCAAAATCATGCAATCATGCAAAATCGCCAAAGAATTCAACATTCCGGCATCGGCTGTTCAACACTGTCCACCATTTTGCAAAATGAGCAAGGCATATTGGAAGGTAGACCTTGCGTGCGGCCAGGGTAAACGCGAAGCAACGTCATAGAGGCACCTCGGGAAACGCAAACGTCTGCGGAGACGCAAAGCACCCTAGGGCTGCTTCGAAACAAGGTGGAGTGCAGAAGCGGTGACAGTGTTCTTGCAATGCCCGGAGCACTTCGAGGAGAACCGATGCCCGTATTAAATAATCGGCAAACTCAACTCAATCACTTTTTTACTTGGTAAAACTGCCGCGAAATGTTCATAACCAAGCTTTGTTTTATTAAATATATGGTCAGAGTGTTCCGCAGTGTTCCAGTCCACCTTCAAGGCTGCTGGTACTCTTTTGGCTCTATCGCTTTTGACGAATTCTCGCTTATATCAAATTTTTTTGCCGTCTCGTTGACTTCGTTATACTGAGGGATGTTGGCGTATGGTCAGTCATGATATTGCAAACTGCTTGAAAAAAGATTGCCTGCCGCTTTCGGGTAACGAACTTGGGTCCGCTGCGTTTGAAGCGGGCGCGTTACCAGAAAAGTATGCCACAGTTGTTTTTTTTTTCCTTATTGCGATACTTTGACAGTGAACAAAGAACCGCAATGCATGACATGCTTCATCTAAGCATGTTATAAAATACCGAGCAAAGACTATGTTCCGAAAGATGATAATAGAACGCCGCCTGCAAGATTTTGACAGGTGGTGAGAATTGTGTTTTCCACTCAGTTCCGGTTTCCATTGAGCAGCTTCATTTCATGCCATCACGCTGTGACCAAATGCGCTGCTTGCGTTTTCGATTATCTGACTTTTCACGAATGTAGAATACACTTATTCTCGACCGATGCAAAACGAAGACTGGGGCACTTCCCTTAGTTCCCGAAACACCGGATATTGTGCGTGCATATGCAAAAGTAGTAAGACATGGCTTAGTCACCTTCCCACACGAGTGCATCTTTGAGCTCAATTTCAATAGTCCTGTCTAGTACCAGTGAACTGCACGTGAAATTTGGTCACCTTGAGCCGTATACGCATTTTGTTTGCAAAACGTCCGCTCCTTGTTACTTCATTGGTCAAAAAGCAAGCCGCATCCTCACACGAGTATCGAAGTTGAGCCCAGTGTCGACGGATGAACTTTTAAAGACTCACAATAAAATCGACCTCACTACTGCACTAAAGTTACTACAGTCTAAGCTGATTATAACAGACCTTGATTTTAACCAAGGTTTCGGTCTGTTGTAAAAGGAGTATGTTGTATGCAGATATGAAGTTGACTCAACGGTGCATGGAGGAAAACCAACCAAACTTCACAGGTCAATATGTTATATCCAAATGTCTGTTGTAACCAGGTCTGTTGTAATGAGCTTAGACTATGATATCTTCCTCGTGTCATCATATATATCCCACTCAAATTTCATGCTGATGGGAGATTAAGTTTTCACAAACGCTGAGATCGGCTAGCTACGGCCGAGGCCCTGATAAGCGTCTCCTACTCCTCGCTAAGCCTTTTTGGACACGCTTTTACTGACGCCCAAGATCTTTGTCTGAACGGTGTGTCTGAAATTATCTCGGCATACTCAGTCGGGAAGAAAGCAAACACGTAAATATTATGGCCATTAGCAACCGTCAAATGCTCTTTGAATAATTTCGTTCGTTTGGCGCACCGCATAGGAGTTGCGCTTGTCCGGCGTACTTCCGGCGAACGATGCGACATTCTTCACACAAGTGCTCGACTTTTGCTTTCTTAAAACAGTTTGTATGTGCGAATGTGCCTATACGATTGCAGGATAACTTCATGCGCCTACGCGATGCTGAATATTAGTGGAATGCAAGCGGGCGGGGACTTCGCTTCGTGCAGTGCTGGGGGTCAGTACAGATAAGAGATAATAAGTGTGTTCGTTATGAGCTTTTCAATGACGCCTCCAAGTTTCACCTCGCATACTCAGACGCACAAAACAAACAAACTTTCTGACCAGCACCACTAATATAAAGGTGCGAGCTCGATGTATGCATACTTATTGGTTGTTACAGCTTGGCGACTCGTAGACAAGCAAGATCCCCGAGCTTCACAGCGTCAAGATTCCCAGCACTGGCTAATCCACATACCTCGAAACGCTAACAGAAAGGCTCGAGTACAAAAATAAGAACAAGCATGTGTTAAGACAAGCTATACGTCTCGGGCTTGTGCTAAAGCTTCGAGGTCTGGACATTTAGGTTAGTTTGGAGACCAAAAATGACGCTCTCGGGACCAAAAAACATGAGATACGCTCTGTGTATAATCTCTTTTCAACGTGTCGATCGAAACCGAAACCAGGCCATTCTCCTCCCTGGCCAACTAGTTCCCAGAGTGCAACGCGCGCAGCGTTGCATGCAGGTGTTTATGGAAGTAGTCCATTACGACATCACCGACACTGGATTGAGGCCTATGAGCATGGACACTTCGCAGGCTATACAGATATTCTTTAGCCCACCTGTTCCAAAACATGTTCGTCAATCGCTGGCGGTGTGACCATCTCCCAATCAACTCCGTTTGAGTGGATGTCGCGTCTCGTCTTTTATGGTGAGGTTAGCCTCCTACCACAAAGGAAGTGAGCAGGAGTTAAGACATTTGGTTCGGAGTATACTAATGTGATTGGTCCAGAGTTGACCACAGCCTCAACTTCTGTTGGTATGGTTGTGATCTGATCGACATCAAGCGCAGCTTTTCCGATGTTTCTTTTCAGGCAACTCTTAACCGATCCCGCCATACGCTCCCAAAACCCACCCCACCATGGAGCTCTTTCAACGATAAACCTCCAAGTGTTCCAATGGGTGGCGCTATAGTCTTTCAATTCGGAACTACATGACACTGCATACATCTGCTTTAGATCTTTAACAGCTCGTTTGAAAGTCGGTGCATTATCTAAACACAATATTCGCAGCAACCCACGCCTTGACACAAAGCGTCTGAAAGCCATTAGAAAGGCATTAGTAGACATATCCAGGACAACTTTTAAATGTATCGCTCGTATAACAGCGCATGTGAATACAATATATGCCTTGACACTGTTCGTTCCGGATTTCACGAACATCGGTCCAGCAAAGTTCACGTCACAGACTTTGAACTGTTCTGCCTTTGTTACGTGGTCATGAGCTTGAGCTTGAGTTGAAGACACATCTTACAGCGTCCGATCACTCGTTTTACACTGTAGCCCTCTTACAACCCAGTGTTGCTCTTGCAGCAGAGTAGCACTCGCACCACCATGCAGAATGCGAACATGCGTGTGCTCAACGAGGAGCTTCGTGAAACTGTGGTCTCCCGGAAGTAGCACCAAAAACTTGGGTCTTGTCGGGTGCTGAGGCATTCTTCAGTCGAGTTTCAGTGCGGATTGCACAGTCTTCACCCAAGAACGAGTGCAGGTACCGGATACGAGAGCTGGACCGCAGGCGGTCACCGGCGACGAGGCTTGCTTTTTCTTCGCTTTAGCTTTCCTCCTGAATGCGTTTCGTCCAGTATCTCGCTGCCTCCTCCAATTCATAGGTGGAAAAAGAGCCGATGACCCTTGGATGAGAGGTAATTATTCTCTAGGGGCAGGAGGGCTGTCAAACCAAAGAAAACGAAGAGCATCCCTGTCCTCGGGTCTCACGCTGATTTGAAGAAAATCCTTCTGAATGTCAGCTGTTAGCGCCATCCTGTGGAAACACAAGTTTACCAAGGTCTTCAGCAGGTCGTTGTTCAGATTGGGTCCTTTCTCCAGATAGTCGTTTAGCGAGAGCTCTCCTGTAGTGTGCGGAGACGCATCGAAAACCACTCGCAACTTTGTGGTGACTGAAGATTCTCGGATAACAGCTCTGTGCCAAATGTAGTACACATCTTCCTTTTCGTTGGTGTCTACCGTCTCTTCCTCTGCGTGTTTGTCGTTTAGGTATTGCGCCATAGCAGAGTCATATTTCAGAAAAAGTTCTTCGTCTCGAGCCAAGCGATGGCACAGCCCTTGCAGACACCTTTCAGTTATTTGAGATCTCCGAGGTTCTGAGACTACCAGGGGAGGGCAACTTCGTATCTACCATCTGCCATGGTGATGGTCTCCTCAAAACCCTATAATAGACTCGTCGTGAGCAGAGTCGGTCATTGAGTCCTTGATGCCGACGCTTTCAAGTTCCCAGAAATGTCGCAGGGTCGAGCTTACTTCATCGTCGCCCGTTGCACCGTCTCTAAGCACGCACACGTTGATGGTTGTTTGGCTCCAAGGTCTTAGGTTCTTTGAGGTCACGGGACCCTGAAATGCCTATCCCAATGTTGTTTTCATGGCTGATAGACACCTGCTGTTGTCATCCCAGCACACTTCATGATCTAACAGCTTTCCAGGCTGATCTGCTCCAACTAAAAGGCTGATTCTGCACTCCCTCTGAATGCCTGGGAAGACCACCAGATCCGCTAGATACTTTTTTTCTTTAAGGATTTTCTGCACAAAGTCATTGGCCATTGGTACGCGATCGATGTCTTTGCATATGACCGGTACTTCAATCGCCTCGATCCTGTGCTTCTCATTGTCATATCGACTTTAAAGTTCGTTTCGACCAATCTTCGCTCATGCCTTTTGCTGTACTGGACACATCTGAACGCATTAACGCTCAGATTCACTTTACCAATCACCTTCAGTTCTAGCTTTCTTGACCCATCTTCTCTGATGAAGGTTCTTTGA